GGGGGGCTGGGGAGGGGTCGGGGGGCACCTGGGAAGGGGGGGACCCCCCCGGCGTAGACGGCGTCGGGGGCGGAGGGTCCCGCGGGCTGCGCGGGCACGGGGCTGTAGCCGTTGACGCTCAGCGGGGCCGCGATGGCCGGGACGGGGGTGGCCGCCATGGCCGGGGGGGTGCTGGTTCCTGGGGACAGCACGGTCACCGCCGGGTCAGCACCAGGACATCCTGGGGACACCCCCTGGGACACCCCCAGGACGCCCTGGGGACACCCCCTGGGACACCACCAGGGACACAAGGACTGTGACCCCGGAGGGTGGGGAACCCCCCACGGGTTCGGTGGTGGTTGAGTGTCCCCGTCCCATCCGTGGTGTCCCTGTCCCATTCATGGTGTCCCCATCCCATCCGTGGTGTCCCCATTTATCCCATGTTCCATCCTTGGTGTCCCATCCTTGGTGTCCCATCCCATCCATGGTGTCCCCATCCCATGGTGTCCCCATCCCATCCATGGTGTCCCCATCCCACCCCTGGTGTCCCCATCACACCCCTGGTGTCCCTATCCCATGGTGTCCCCATCCCATCCATGGTGTCCCCCCATATCCCATGTCCCATCCTTGATGCCCCCATCCCAGGTGTCCCCATTCCTCTGTCTCCTCCCCAGTGTCCCCATCCCAGGTGTCCCCATTCCTGTGTCCCCTCCCCACTGTCCCCATCCAAGGTGTCCCTCTCCATTGTCCTCATCCCTGCTGCCCCCCACCAGCAGTACCCCCGTCCCCATGTCCCCGTCCCTGTGTCCCCCCTCCCCTCCCTGCTGTCCCCTCTGTCCCCGTGTCCCCGTTACCTGAGGAGGGTGGCAGGGGGGTGGCGATGAGCCCGTTGGGGTTGACCGTGCCCATGTGCTGCATCTGGACGGCCATGGTGGCCATGGGGCTGAGGTAGGCCGAGTGCGCGGCCACCAGGGCCGCCTGCTGCTGCATCAGCTGTGGGGACACGCCTGGCACCGCGCGGCCACCGCGGCCACCGCCCCCCCGGCGGCCCACCCCAGTGCCACCGCCACGCCAGGAGCCCACCCCAGTGCCACCGCCATGCCAGGAGACCACCCCAGTGCCACCAACACCCCGGGATGTGGGACCAGCATCTCCCCATGGATGTCACCCCAGTGTCCCATCCAGGACCAGCATGTCCCCATGGATGTCACCCCAGTGTCCCATCCGGGATCAGAATGTCCCCATGGATGTCACCCCAGTGTCCCATCCAGGACCAGCATGTCCCCATGGATGTCACCCCAGTGCCACCAGGGCCACCTGCTGCTGCATCAGCTGTGGGGACACGCCTGGCACTGCACGGCCACTGCCACCGCTGCCACCGTGGCCACCACCCACCAATGGGATGGGTGCTGGCACTGCGCCACAGAGCCCACCCTGGTGCCACCAACACCCTGGGACATGGGGTCATGGGGTCATGGGCTCCCCATGGATGTCCCATCAGAAGATTTGGAACTGTCACCTTGCCATGGATGTCACCCCAGTGTCACATCCCCCCCATCACCCACCACCACAACCACCTCAGGCTGGATTTTGGCAGGTCCCACCCCCTTCCCCTTGATCTTCCCAGTGTCCCCAGCATCCCCAGCATCCCCAGTGTCCCCCGTGTCCCCAGTCACCCCTGTGTCCCCAGTGTCCCCAGTCCTCCCAGTGTCCCCAGTGCCCGTACCGCCTGCGTGTAGGCGCTGTAGGCGCCAAACTGGAGGGCGATGGGGCTCCCTCCCCCCAGCTGACTGCTGCTCCCAGTGTCCCCAGTGTCCCCAGTCCCTCCCAGTGTCCCCAGTGCCCGCACCGCCTGCGTGTAGGCGCTGTAGGCGCCAAACTGGAGGGCGATGGGGCTGAACATGCCCAGCTGGCTCGCCACCTGCTGCATGCGCCGCAGCCCCCGCTCCTTCTCCGTGTCCGCAAACTTCACCACCAGGCTGGACGAGGCGCCCTGCGGGGACACGGCGGTCACTCGCGGTCACTCACGGTCACTCGCGGTCACTCATGGTCACTGACAGTCACTCGCGGTCACTCGCGGTCACTCGCGGTCACTGACAGTCGCTCGCGGTCACTCATGGTCACTCATGGTCACTGACAGTCACTCGTGGTCACTCGTGGTCACTCATGGTCACTGACAGTCACTCGTGGTCACTCATGGTCACTGACAGTCACTCGCGGGCACTCATAGTCACTCATGGTCACTCGTGGTCACTCATGGTCACTGACAGTCACTCGCGGTCACTCATAGTCACTCATGGTCACTCGTGGTCACTCATGGTCACTGACAGTCACTCGTGGTCACTCATAGTCACTCACGGTCACTCACGGTCACTGACAGTCACTCGTGGTCACTCACGGTCAGTTGCGGTCAGTCGGGTTCATTTGGGGTCACACGGAAGGGAAGGGGTGATGGGGGTGATGGTTGGGTTATAACGGGGTGAGGATGATGGTGGAGGTGATGAAGAGGATCAGGACAGGGTTGATGACCGGGACAGTGGTGAGGATGATGATGGGATGATGGCAGAGAAGATGAAGGGCATGATGAAGGAGATGAAGGGGAGGATGGTGGGGACAGTGGTGAGGATGATGATGGGATGATGATGCAGACATTGGTGAGGATGATGAGGGGATGATGGTGGACAAGATGAAGGAGATGATGCTGAGGATGACGGGGATGATGAGGGTGGCAATGGGGATGACAATGACAATGATGAGGACGATGAAGGGGATGATGAAGAGGATGATGAAGGGGACCATGAAGGGAACGATGATGAGGACAATAAAGAGGATGGTGAAGGAGATGATGAAGGGCACAATGATGAGGATGACGAAGGGGACAACGATGAGAAAGATGAAGGGGATGACAAAGGTGACCATGAAGGGGACGATGATGAGGATGCTGAAGGTGACAGCGCAGGGTGATGATGAGGACAGTGATGGGCCAATGAAGGAGACAGTGACAAAGGTGACACCGCAGGTGACACCGCAGGACGTCCCTCACCGGCAGCGTGCGGCTCCCGTGCAGGGCGGCGATGGCGGCCTGGGCCTCCGCGTGGCTCTGGAACTTGACGAAGGCGCAGCCTGGGGACATCGGGGACATTGGGGACATTGGGGACATTGGGAACATCGGGGACATCGGGGACATTGGGGACATTGGGGACATCGGGGACATCGGGAACATCGGGGACATTGGGGACATCGGGGACATCAGGGACATTGGGGATATTGGGGACATCGGGGACATTGGGGACATCAGGGACACTGGGGACATCAGCTCCATGGCAGCTGCAGGGAGCTCTGGGGGTCCCACCATAGGGGACATAGGGGACATCGGGGACATAGGGGACATCGGGGACATCAGGGACATTGGGGACATCAGGGACACTGGGGACATCAGCTCCATGGCAGCTGCAGGGAGCTCTGGGGGTCCCACCCCACCCCCTCACCCCCATCACCCATGGACCCCCCAAACCCCATTAACCCCATCCCTGCCGTGCTCCCCCTAAACCCCATCCCCGCCCCACAGATCTCCTCGTGCCCACCCCGATGACCCCCGTGGGACCCCCCAGGACCCCCGTGGGACCCTCCCAGGACCCCCGTGGGACCCCCCAGGACCCCCGGGTGCCCCCACCTTTGCTGGTGCCGTCGGGGCCGCGCAGCACCGTGCACTCGTCGATGGTGCCGAAGGGCTCGAACATCTTGCGCACGTCCTCGTCCGCCTGCTGCTTGCTCGGGTGGAACCGGGCACGGCACGGGCACGGGGGCATGGGGACACCGCGGGTGGCACCGGGCACGGCACGGGCACGGGAGCACAGGGACACCGTGGGTGGCACCGGGGACAGGGGCACGGGCACAGGGGCAGGGGCACGGGGGCACGGGGACACCACGGGTGGCAGCGGGCACGGCACGGGGACAGGGACACAGGGACACCACAGGTGGCACCGGGCACGGCACGGGCACAGGAGCACAGGGACACCGTGGGTGGCACCGGGGACAGGGGCATGGGGACAGGGGCACAGGGACACCACGGGTGGCACCGGGCACAGCACGGGGACAGGGGCATGGGGACACCGCAGGTGGCACTGGGATATGGTACAGGGACAGGGCCACAGGGACATCGCGGGTGGCAGCGGGCACGGCACGGGGACAGGGGCACTGGGACACCGTGGGTGGCACCGGGGACAGGGGCACGGGGACACCGTGGGTGGCACCGGGGACATGGCCATGGGGACAGGGGCACGGGGACACCGCGGGTGGCATCGAGACATGGGCATGGGGACACTGCGGGTGGCATCGGGACATGGCATAGGGATATGGGCATGGGGACAAGGACACAGGGACATGGGCATGGGGACACCATGGGTGGCACCGGACACGGCACGGGGACACCATCATGGGGACAGGGGCATGGGGACATGGGCATGGGACACCGCAGGTGGCATCAGGACACTAGCATGGAGACAGGGGCGTGGGGACACCGCGGGTGGCATGGGGACACCAGCATGGGGATAGGGGTACCGGGACACCATGGGTGGCACAGGGACACCATCATGGGGACATGGGCATGGGGACACCAGCATGGGGATAGGGGCACCGGGACACCATGGGTGGCACTGGGACACCATCATGGGGACACGGGCATGGGGACATGGGCATGGGGACACCGCAGGTGACATCAGGGCACCAGCACAGGGACAGGGACACGGGGACACCCTGCTGGCACCAGGACACGGGCATGGAGACACAGGCATGGGGACACCACACTGGCACTGGACGGGCATGGGGACACTGTGGGTGGCACTGGGACACAGGCACAGGGACACCAGGGGTGGCACCGGGACATGGGCACAGGGACAGTGCCACGCAGAGGGGGGTGACACTGCAGGAAGGATGGGCTGGGGGGAATGGGGACCTGGGATGGGGACGGGTGACATCTCCTGGGAGTGGGGACATGCAGGGACACCCCACGCTGGGGACAGGGACACACGGGGGGGGGTCTCACACCGGGGGGTGGCCTTGGGGTGATTTGGGGAAACCGGGGTTTGGGGACAGGGTGGTGTGGGGTGACTTGGGGGTGGTTTGTGGGGGAGGGGGTGTTGGAGATTCTGGGGGGATTTTTGGGGTTTTGGGATGATTTTGGGGGTTTTTTTGGGAGGATTTTGGGGTTTTTTGGGGAGGATTTGAGGGATTTGGGTTTTTTTCGGGAGGATTTTGGGGGTTTTTGGCCCCCCACACCCCGGAACCCCCCAGAGGAACGGGGCGGGAATGGGGGGGGGGAGGGCGCAGATGCGCGGTTGCCATGGCAACGGCCGGCTCCGCTCCATGGCAACCGCCCACTCATCCCCAATTTACCCATCGCCGTTGCCCGGCAACGCCGCTGACGTCATCAGCGCTCGCGATAAACAATGACGGGGATGGGGGGGGGGAAGCCTCAAACCACCCCAAAATCAGGCTGGGGGGAGGGAATGGGAGGTAGGACCCTCCCCCCAAAAATGAATTGGGGGTGGGGGGCACTTGCACCCCCGGACCCCCCCCCAAATCCCGGGCTTTGTCTTCGTGCCCGCCCGGCAGCGCTTCATTAGCGCCAGGCCCTCATTAGCGGCGCTGATTAAACACCCCACAGATGCTCGGGGGCGCCCCCAGCCCCCCAAAAATCTCCCCCTCAGTGGGGGCTGGGGTGGTTCTGAAAAGGGGGGGTGGGGGGAATTGAGGTGGGGGATTTTGGGGGGGATTTAGGGGGGATTTTTGGGGGGTTTCAGTGTGATTTTAAGGGGTGATTTTGGAGGATTTAAGAGGGATTTTTTGGGGGATTATAGGTGATTTTGGGGGGAGTTCTGCATGATTTTTGGGGTTTCCCTGTGATTTTTGGGCTTTCACTGTGATTTTTGGGCTTTCACTGTGATTTTTGGGCTTTCACTGTGATTTTTGGGCTTTCACTGTGATTTTTGGGGGGTTTCACTGTGATTTTGGGGCAGTGACACCCCCAAGACCCCTGGGGGTCCCACAGAGACCCCAATACTCCCCCAGGACCCCTCGAGACCCCGCCAGTTTTGGTGTCCATCGGGGCACAGTTGGCGCCGGGGGTTTGGGGGGGCTCAGGGACCCCCCGGGTGGATTTTTCGGGGGTTTACGGGGGATTTTGGGGTGTCCCGGGTTGGAGGCTCACAGGGGGTATTTGGGGGTGCCCCGGGGGGGTTCCCACGCCCCCCCACTCACCCCCGGCAGGGTTTTCTGCTCGTGCAGGGCGCTCTGGGCCTTCAGGGCCGACTCGCGGGCGCAGTAGGTCAGGAAGGCGCATCCTGGGGGGGAAAAAATGGGTCGGCGGGTGTTGGGGACAGGGTCAGGGGTTGGGGACACCCCCGGCGTGGGCAGCAGGGCCCTGTCACTGTCACTGCCGGCTGTGACACCCCCACCCCAGGGACCCCCGGTGTCACCCCCAGGGACACATGGGGTGACCACGTGACAACCCAATGACAGACACAACACCCCAAAACAACACCCGGACACCCCAAAATGACATCTGGAAACCCCGAAACAACAACCCAGAAACCCCAACATGACACCCGGACACCCCAAAATTACACCTGGACTCCCCAAAATTACACCCAGACACCCCCAGGGACACCCGGAGCCGGTGTCACCCTCACAGGGACCCATGGGGTGACACCCAACACCCGCCTGGCACCCCAAAACAACACCCGACACAACACCCTGACACCAACCCCAGCCCCTGACACGACACCCCAGCACCGCCAGGGCCGAGTGTCACCTGAAGGGGCACCCACGGGACACCAACATCCAAAACAACACCTGGCAGCACCTGGCACGGCTGCCAGGCACCCACCGGGCACAACAGCCAGGCACAACACCCCAACAACAGCCTAGCAACACACTGGGCACAACAGCCAGGCACAACAGCCCAACAACAGAACCTCAACAGCACCTAACAACAACAGCCCAACAGCAACAGCCCAACAACACCCTAACAACAACAGCTCAGCAAAAAACCAGCCCAATAACACCCCAACAACACCTAAACAAGAGCCCAGCAACAACCGCCTGCACTCACCCAGCCCCACAACAGTCAGACACAACACCCCACACCTGACAAAGTCCCTGCCTGCCCCGTGGCCGCACAGCCGCCCTCACCCCCAACACCGGGGTACAACACCCTGACCCGGGGTACCCCAGATGGGCTGGGGGGCTGCGGCTGTTCCCAGTGCCCAGGGCTGTACCTGGGGCTGTTCCCGGTGCCCTCGCCTGTAGCTGGGGCTGTTCCCAGTGCCTTCACCTGTACCAGGGGCTCTTCCCGGTGCCAGGGGCTGTACCCGGGGCTGTTCCCAGTGCCCGGGGCTGTACCCAGGCCTGCGGCTGTAGTTTGAGCTGTGGGTGTTGCTCAAGGCCTTTGGCTGTGCTGGAGCTGTTCCTGGGGCTGTTCCCAGTGCCCTCGGTCGTACCCGGGGCTGTTCCCGGTACCGGGTGCTGTTTTGGGGGGCTGTTCCCAGTTCCCTATACCCTCGGTTGTATCAGTACCCACAACAGTCAGACACAACACCCCACACCTGACAAAGTCCCTGCCTGTCCCGTGGCCGCACAGCTGCCCTCACCCCCAACACCGGGGTACAACACCCTGACCCGGGGTACCCCAGATGGGCTGGGGGGCTGCGGCTGTTCCGGTGCCTGGGGCTGTACCCGGGGCTGTTCCGGTGCCCGGGGCTGTACCCAGGGCTGTTCCCAGTGCCCTCGCCTGTACCCGGAGCTGTTCCCGGTGCCCGGGGCTGTACCCAGGCCTGTGGCTGTAGTTTGAGCTGTGGGTGTTGCTCAAGGCCTTTGGCTGTGCTGGAGCTGTTCCTGGGGCTGTTCCCAGTGCCCGGGGCTGTACCCAGGCCTGTGGCTGTAGTTTGAGCTGTGGGTGTTGCTCAAGGCCTTTGGCTGTGCTGGAGCTGTTCCTGGGGCTGTTCCCGGTGCACTCAGTTGTACCCGGGGCTGTTCCCGGTACTGGGCGCTGTTTTGGGGGCTGTTCCCAGTTCCCTGTACCCTCGGTTGTATCAGTACCATTCGTGGGGCTGTTCCCAGTACCAGAGGTTGGATCTGGAGTGGTTCCCAATGTCGGGGCTGTTCCGGTTACCGGGAGCTGTTCCCGGTACCAGGGCCCTCGGTTGTACCTGGGGCTGTTCCCGGTTACCGGGGCTGTTCCCAGTGCCCTCGGTTGTACCCGGGGCTGTTCCCGGTACCTCAGGCCGTATCACGGGGCTATTCCTGCTGACAGTGGCTGTTCCCGGTACCGGGGCCGTATCCTGGGGCCATTCCCAGTACCGGGAGCTGTTCCCAGTCCCGGGGACCCCATCCCAGGGCTGTTCCCGGTACCGGGGCTGTGTCACAGGGCCATTCCCGGTGCTGGGAGCTGTTCCCGGTACCGGGAGCTGTTCCTGGTGCTGGAGGCCGTGGCACGGGGCTGTGCCCGGTACCGGGGCTGTACCCCGGCGCTATTCCCAGTGTTCGTGGCTATTCCCAGTACCGGGGGCCACATGCTGGGGCAATTCCCACTACCGGGAGCCGTATCACAAGGCCGCTCCCGGTACCGGGGGCCACATCCCGGGGCTGATCCCGGTATCTGGGGCCATATCCCGGGGCTATTTCTCATCCTGGGAGCTATTCCCGGCACCAGGGGCTGTCCCCGGTGCTGGGAGCCACATCACGAGGCCGTTCCCGGTACCGGCAGCTGCTCTCAGTACCGGGGGCCACATCCTGGGGCCATTCCCAGTACTGGGGGCCATTCCCGGTACTGGGGGCCACATCCTGGGGCTAATCCCGGTACCGGGGGCCGTTCCTTGTACCAGGGGCCATATCCTGGGGCCGATCCCGGTACCGGGGGCCGATCCCGGTGCCGGTGGCCGAATCCCGGAGCTGCCCCCACACCCCCGTACCCGTGCCCCGCACCCACCCCCGCTGCCCGGGGCCGTGCCCGCTGCCCCTGCCCCACTCCCGCTGCCCGTTCCCGTTCCCCGGGGCCGTTCCCTTTACCCATCCCCGGTTCCCGGTTGCCGCTTCCCGTACCTTTGTGCATCCCGGTGTACTTGTCCTTGATGACGGTGAGCTCGTAGATTTTCCCGAATTGCTCAAAAATCGGTTTCAGGTCCTTCTCCTCCAGGTGCCGCGGGATCTGCCCCACGAAGAGTTTGATGGCGTCGGGCTCCTTCATGGGGCCGCCGGGGGGTCCCCGGGCCCCGGGGCCGCTCCCGCTCCCCGCTATCACCGCCCGGGCTCGGCTCCCGGTGCTCCCGGCGGTGCCCGGTGCCCCGGCGCACACAAAGGACGAGGCGGCCCCGGGGCTCGGCTCGGCTCCGGGGACGGGGCGCGGCGGGGCGGGGGCAGCTCTGCCCGGGGGGCGGCGCTCCCGGCGCTCCCGGTGCGTCCCGGCCGTTTCCCGGGTGCTGCTCCCCAAAATCCCGGTGGATGCTGCGAGCGCCCGCCCCGCCGGTACCGCCCCGGTGGCCTCGGGGAGGGTCCCGGTACCGGGCGGGGGGCGGGGGGAGCTCAACGCCCGGTTCGGTCCATGGCGGCCGCGGCGGCCGCCGGTCCCCGAGAGCCCCGGTGGTGGCCGAGCCCCCCCGGCCGCTGGGGCAGCGGCACAGGGTACCGGGTACCGGCACCGGGATCGGCACCGGGAGACGCTTTTCTTCCCCGGTTGGAGCCGCCCCGCCCCGCCCCGCCCGGTGCTGATGTCAGAGCGGCACCGGGGACCGGCACCGGCCGCGACACCGGGGCCTGGGGAGCGGGACCGGGGACGGAGAACTGGGGACCGGCTACGGGGACCGGCACCGGGAACCGGGACCGGATAACGGGCACCGGCACCGGGAACCGGGACCGGATAACGGGCACCGGCACCGGGGCACGGGGTTCTGGCTGCCGGGCACCGGCACCGGCGACAAGAGCGGGACCTGGAGTCCGGGAGCGGGGATGGGGCTCTGGGAACCGGCTACCGGAACCGGGGGCCAAGCACCGGATAACGGGCACCGGGACCGTCCGTGGGGTGCGGGGCAGCGGCGGCAACACCGGAATGGGAACCGGGAACGGGGAGGGGGCGCTCGGAACCGGGAACCGGGGACAACACCGGCACCGGCACCACCAGCGGCACCGGGAACCGGGAGGGGGCTCCGGGCTCCGGTAACGGCCCCGCCCGGGCCCGGGGGCGGTGGGGGGGGTTGGGGATGTTTTGGGGTGTCACCCCCCCGTGTGCCGGTGTCACCCCTCAGTGTCACCCCCACGGTGTCCCGGTGTCCCCAGTTCGGTGTCACCCCCCGTGTGCCGGTGTCTCCCCTCCGTGTCACCCCCACGGGGTCCCCGTGTCCCCAGACCGGTGTCCACCCTCAGTGTCACCACCACGGTGTCCCCAGGCCAGTGTCTCCCCTCGGTGTCACCCCCTCTGTGTCCTAGTGTGTCCCCAGTTCGGTGTCACCCCCCCGTGTGCCGGTGTCACCCCTCAGTGTCACCCCCACGGTGTCCCGGTGACCCCAGGCCGGTGTCACCCCTCAGTGTCACCCCCCTTCGGTGTCGCGGTGTCCCCCCCGCCCCGCGTCTCCTCCTGTCACGCCCCGCTGTCCCCAGCCGTGTCCCCGTGTGTCCCCCCCGCCGTTGTCATGGCAACGAGCCGGTGACAGCCCCAGGTGGCACCGCCACACCCCCCCCGGCCCGAGGGTGACACCTGGGCAGGTGGGGACCCCCCTTTTGGGGTCACAGGCCGGGTGGCTTTGGGGACATCCCGCGGTGGCGCTTTGGGGACACGGCGCTCACCTGGCCGAGGGGGCGGGGCTTCCCCAGCTGGGCCCCGCCCCCAAAAATTCACTCAGAACAGCCGAAATTCCGATCCCAAAATTCCCTTTTTTTGGGAAATCTCCCAGGAACCTTTGGCCTTTTCTTTCCCAAATCCTACAGCTCCCAACACTTCGGGATCCCCCCAAAATCCCTGAGACCCCCACAAAAGTTTGGGACCACCCCCCAAAAAAATCCTGGGATCGCCCAAAAAATCCCGATCCCCTTTTTTGGGGGGATTCCTGCTCCGGATCCTGGAGCACCCCAAAGGGGGAACCCCCCAAATCCATCCCGGGGACCCCAAATCCATCCCAGGGACCCCAAATCCATCTCAGGGGACCCCCCAAGATTTTGGGGTTCAAGGGAGGGTCCCGGGGGTCCCACAGGAATTCCAGAGTCCCCCAAAATTTCACTGAACCCTCTTTTCCACAGGTTCCGAAAGGGGGGAATGGCCCCAAATCCATCCCAGGGACCCCAAATCCACCCTGGGGACCCCAAATCCATCCCGCAGACCCCCCTGGACCAGAGTGGGGCTCAGGGGGATTTGGGGGGGCTCAAAAAAACCCCAAAATCCTGCTCTGGGAACCCAGAGATGTCCGAGAGTTCCACAGAGGTGAGAGAGGATCCCAAACAGAGGGAATGGCCCCAAATCTGTCCTGGGGACCCCAAATCCACCCCGGGGACCCCAAATCCACCCCATGGACCCCCCCTGTAGCAGAGTGGGGTTCAGGGGGATCTGGGGGGGCTCAGGAGAATCCAAAATTCCTGAGCTGCAGCTCTGGGAATTGGGCGATGTCTGGAGTTCCACAGAGGTGAGGGGATCCCAAAGAGGGGGGGAACGGCCCCAAATCCATTCTGGGGACCCCCCAATCCTTCCAGGGGACCCCAAATCCACCTCAGGGGACCCCAAATCCCTGGGGGGGGGTCAGAGGAGTCTCTCCCTGCTGCTCTCCAGCTGCTGCTGCTGCTTCTCCTGCCAGTGCCGGAAGCGTTTGGTTTTGGGGTGCAGGAACTGCACCACGTCCATGGGCACCCGCACCGTGTCCAAACCGTTCACCTGGGGACCCCAAAAACACCCCAAAAAACACCTCAGCCACCCCAAAAACACCTGAGTTACCCCAAAAACCCCTGAGCCACCCCCAAAAACACCCCAGGGCACTCCATCCATGGGCACCCGCACCGTGTCCAAACCGTTCATCTGGGGACCCCAAAAACACCTGAGCCACCCTAAAAACACCTGAGCCACCCCAAAAACACCCCAAAACCACCCCCGGGGCACCACGTCTATGGGCACCCGCACCGTGTCCAAACCGTTCACCTGGGGACCCCAAAAACACCCCAAAAAACCCCTGAGTCACCCCAAAAACCACCTGAGCCACTCCAAAAACACCCCAAAAACACCCCTGGGGCACCACGGCCATGAGCACCTGCACCGTGTCCAAACCATTCACCTGGGGACCCCAAAAACACCCCAAAAAACACCTGAGCCACCCCAAAACCCCCTGAGCCACCCCCAAAAACACCCCAGGGCACTCCATCCATGGGCACCCGCACCGTGTCCAAACCGTTCATCTGGGGACCCCAAAAACACCTGAGCCACCCTAAAAACACCTGAGCCACCCCAAAAACACCAAAAAAAGCCCTGAGTCACCCCAAAGACACCCCAAAACACCTGAGTCACCCTAAAAACACTCCAAAAAACCACCTGAGCCACCCCAAAAACCCCCTGGGGCACCACGGCCATGGGCACCCGCAGCGTGTCCAAACCATTCACCTGGGGACCCAAAAGCAGCCCCAGGGCACCCCAAAACCCAGCAGGACACCCCAAAATCCCCTGGATCACCTCAGTGCTCCCAGCTGGAGCGAGATGGGGGAAGTGGGAGAGGAAAGGGGGGGAGATCAGCTGGAAATGGGGAGGGGGAGTGCGGGGGATGGGGGAAGTGAAATTGGGAGAGGGGATTTGGGGAAAAGGGAGGAAATGAGGGGGAAATGGGAGAAGGAAATTGGGGGAAATGAGGGGGAAATGGGAGAGGGAAATTGGGGGAAATGAGGGGGAAATGGGGAAGGGAAATTGGGGGAAATGAGGGGGAAGTGGGAGAGGGAAATTGGGGGAAATGAGGAAGGGAAATTGGGGGAAATGAGGGGGAAATGGGAGAGGGAAATTGGGGGAAATGGGTGGGAAATGTGGAAAATGAGGGGGAAATGGAGAGAAAGTGAAAAGGGAGATTGGGGGAAATGGGGCGGGAGTGAAAGGGAAATTGGGAGTGAGGAGTGGGGAAAAAGGGGGGGGGAACGGGAGAGGAAAATGGGGTGGAAGTGAGGGGGAAACAGGGAGAAAGTGGAAGGGAAATTGGGGGAAATGGGGAGGAATGAGGGGGAAATGGGGTGCAAGGGCTCCCCTGTGTCCCCGCTGTCCCCTCACCGTGACGTCACACCAGTACTGTCCCCAGCGTGTGATGGGCTCTGGTGGCAGCCGCAGGGCATGGGGGGGCACGAACACCCCGAGCTGGCACGGGAACAGAGAGAATGGCCCCAAATCCAGGGGTGTCACCCCAAATCCAGGGGTGTCACCCCAAATCCCACCCCAAATCCCGGGGTCTCACCCCAAATCCTGGGCTCTCATCCCAAATCCTGGGATCTCACCCCAAATCCCGGGGTCTCACCCCAAATCCCGGGGTTTCACCCCCAATCCAGGGGTCTCACCCCAAGTCCTGGGCTCTCACCCCAAATCCCACCCCAAATCCAGAGGTGTCACCCCAAATCCCGGGGTGTCACCCCAAATCCAGGGGTTTCACCCCAAATCCTGGGCTCTCATCCCAAATCCAGGGGTCTCACCCCAAATCCCGGGGTCTCACCCCAAATCCCGGGGTCTCACCCCCAAATCCTGGGCTCTCACCCCAAATCCCAGAGTGTCACCCCAAATCCCGGGGTTTCACCCCAAATACTGGGCTCTCACCCCAAATCCTAGGCTCTTACCCCAAATCCCGGGGTCTTACCTCAAATCCCAGGGTTTCACCCCAAATCCCAGGGTCTCACCCCAAATCCCAGGGTTTCACCCCAAATCCCAGGGTCTCACCCCAAATCCCACCCCAAATCCTGGGCTCTCACCCCAAATCCTGGGCTCTCACCCCAAATCCTGGGCTCTTACCCCAAATCCCAGAGTGTCACCCCAAATCCCGGGATTTCACCCCAAATACTGGGCTCTCACCCCAAATCCTAGGCTCTTACCCCAAATCCTGGGCTCTCACCCCAAATCCTGGGCTCTCACCCCAAATCCTGGGCTCTTACCCCAAATCCCAGAGTGTCACCCCAAATCCCGGGGTTTCACCCCCAATCCCAAGGTTTCACCCCAAATCCCGGGGTCTCACCCCAAATCCCAGGGTCTCACCCCAAATCCCACCCCAAATCCTGGGCTCTCACCCCAAATCCTGGGCTCTTACCCCAAATCCCAGGGCTTCACCCCAAATCCCAGGGTCTCACCCCAAATCCCACCCCAAATCCTGGGCTCTCACCCCAAATCCCAGCAGCAGGGGCAGGCACAGCCCCCAGACGCCCCCACAGCCCCATCCCAGCCCCCCCAGATCCTTTGGGAACCCCAAATCCTGGGATTTGACCTCAAAACCCAGGAACAGAGGCAGGTCAGAGCCCTCCAGACCCTTTGGGAATGACCCCAAATCCTGGGAATGACCCCAGATCCTGGGAGTAGAGATGGACAGAGCCCCCCAAACCCTGTGGAAACCCCAAAGCCTTTGCGAATGACCCCAAATTCCAGGAATGGCCCCAAATCCCAGAAATGGCCCCAAAATCCAGGAATGGCCCCAAATCCCAGAAATGGCCCCAAAATCCAGGAATGGCCCCAAATCCCAGAAATGGCCCCAAAATCCAGGAATGGCCACAAATCCCAGAAATGGCCCCAAAACGTGGGAGTGACCCCAAAACCCAGAAATGGCCCCAAAACCAGAGAGCCACCCCAAATCCCGGGAGCAGGGCTGGCCTGGATCCCCCAAATCCTTCGGGAATGACCCCAAACCCTGGGAATTGGTCATGGGAATCCCAAAAACCCCACAAATCCCAAAACCCTACAAATCCTGCTCACGTTCTTGAGGAAGTGCCGGGCCACGATGTCGGGGTTGAGCTCCCAGCTCACGTTGTTCTTCATCCCCACCTGGAGCCGGCAGCGCCGCAGGAATTCCAGGGTCTGGGAAAAGGAAAGGGATCCAGGAATTCCTGGGGGGAATTCCCAGGATTTTGGGGTTTTTGGGGTGGGGGACCCCGCTCACCTTCTGCCCGCTCTGGGTTTGGGGCTCCTCCAGCTTCCCCTGCTGCGCCAGCTGGGAATGGGAAAATGGGAATTAGGGGGGAATGGGATGGGGGAAATGGGGGAAAAATGGGATAGGGGAGGGGAAATGGGGGGAAAATGGGATTGAGGGGGGGAAATGGGGGAAAAATGGGATTGAGGGGGGGAAAAGGGGGGAAAATGGGATTGAGGAGGGGAAATGGGGGGAAAAATGGGATTGAGGAGGGGAAACGGGAAAAATGGGATTGAGGAATGGGAATGGGGGAAAAAATGGGATTGAGAAGGGGAAATGGGGGAAAAAATGGGATTGAGGAGAGAAAACGGGGGAATGGGATTGAGGAAACAGGGAAAATGGGATTGAGGGGGGGAAATGGGGGGAAAATGGGATTGAGAAGGGGAAATGGGGGAAAAAATGGGATTGAGGAGAGAAAACGGGGAAAATGGGATTGAGGAAGGGAAATGGGGAAAAAATGGGATTTAAGAGGAAAAATGGGGAGAAAAACTGGGACTGAGAGGGAGAAATGGGGGAAAATTTGATTTAGGAGGGAAAATGGAGAAAAATGGGATTGAGGGGGGAAATTTGGGGAAAAAAGGTGATTTAAAAAAGAAAATGGGGAAAAAATGGGATTTGGAAGACAAAAAGGGAAAAAATAGGATTGAGGGGAGAAAATGGGGGAAATTGGGATTGAGGAGGGAAAATGGGATTTATAAAGCTAAATGGGGAAAATGGGGATTGAGGAAAATAAATGGAGAAAAAGAGATTGAGGAAAAGTGGGAAAACCAGGGATTGAGGAGGATAAAAGGGAAAAGCTCAGGGATGGAGGAGGATCAGGAGGAAGGAATCATCCCTTGGCAGGGCCAGGAGGGCTCTCCCCTCATCCCAAACCCTCCTGGGCTCCCCAGAGGAATTTTTTAGGGATCAAGGCTCAACTTGGGATTGCATTCCTAAGGAAACCAGCTCCTCCCATCCCAAAAATCCCCAAAAAATCCCCCGAAAGGCGTGTGGGCTGATCCCAAAGAGCCTCTAAAGCCCCAATTCCTGCTTTTCCCTGGGTTTTCCAAGGTTTGGAGAGGCTCCCTGAGGAGCTGCTGACCTCCTTCTCCTGCTGGAAGATGCGCAGGTTCTCCGGGGAGGGGTACACGGCCAGGCCCTGGGGAAGGAGCTTGTTCCTGCCCAGGCTCTTCCTCACGCTCACCACGTCCCCACGGCTGCCCAGGTCTGCCAGGAAAATTGGGAAAAGTCACCTGGGAATGCTGGGGAATCCCAGCTGCCACGGCAGCCTGGGGGTAAAGCCCAAAGTGGGGTAAATTCCAGGGATTTTCAATCAAATTATATGAAATGAAAGAGAAATTCCATGGGGTTGTTGGGCTTGGGAGTCAAAACTCAGCTGGGAATGCTGGGAAATCCCAGGATCCCCAGGGAATGAGGGATCCCCACCCCAGGGAATGAGGGATCCCCAGGGAATGAGGGATCCCCAGATCCCCAGGGAATGAGGGATCCCCAGATCCCCAGGGAATGAGGGATCCCCAGGGAATGAGGGATCCCCAGATCCCCAGGGAATGAGGAACTCCTGGAGAATGAGGAATTCCCAGACCCCAGGGAATGAGGCACCCCCAGGGTATGAGGCACCCCAAGGGCATGAGGCACTCCCAGGGCATGAGGAGCTCCCAGATCCAAGGGAACGAGGCATCCCCAGGGCATGAGGACCCCAGGGAATGAGGGATTCCCAGGGAATGAGGCACCCCAAGGGAATGAGAAGCTTGCAGGGAACGAGGCACCCCAAGGGAACGAGGCACCCCAAGGGAACGAGGCACCCCAAGGGAATGAGGAACCCCCAGGGAATGAGGAACCCCCAGACCCCCAGGGAACAAGGCAACCTCAGGGAATGAGGCACTCCCAGACACAAGGGAATGAGGAGCTCCCAGGGAATGAGGGATTCCCAGGGCATGAGGCACCCCCAGGGAATGAGGAGCTTGCAGGGAACGAGGCACCCCAAGGGAATGAGGCGCCCCCAGACCCAGGGAATGAGGCACCCCTGGCTCCCTCTGCCCGCTCCCCCTGCCCGCTCCCCGTGCCCTCTCCCCCTGCCCGCTCCCTGTGCCCTCTCCCCATGCCCAGCTCCCCGTGCCCAGCTCCCCGTGCCCTCTCCCCATGCCCGCTCCCTGTGCCCAGCTCCCCATGCCCTCTCCCCGTGCCCTCTCCCCATGCCCTCTCCCCCTGCCCTCTCCCCGTGCCCTCTCCCCGTGCCTGCTCCCCGTGCCCTCTCCCCGTGCCCTCTCCCCCTGCCTTCTCCCCATGCCCAGCTCCCCGTGCCCTCTCCCCCTGCCTGCTCCCCGTACCCAGCTCCCCGTGCCCGCTCCCCGTGCCCTCTCCCCGTGCCCTCTCCCCGTGCCCGCTCACCCTGCACGGCGCGGCTCAGCAGCAGCTCCATGTTGCCCCGGGGCAGGTGTTTCCCGTCCCGCAGCAGCCGGTACACCCGGTGCCGCCGCGGGTGCAGCCGGGGCGCCGCCCCCACCCGGCCCAGCGGCACCGGCCACACGCGCTCCACCACCACCGAGCCCTGCGGGCACGGAACGTTCCAGAAGGTTCTGATGGGGATGGGGCACCGAGCCCTGAGGGCACGGAACGTTCCAGAACCTTCTGATGGGGATGGAGCACCGAGCCCTGAGGGGTTCTGGAAGGTTCTAAAGGGTTCTGATGGGAACAGGCCTCAGGATGGGGATGGGGCACTGAGCTCTGCAGGGTTCCAGAATGTTCTAAAGGGTTCTGATGGGAGCAGGGCTTGGGATGGAGCACCGAGCCCCGCGGGTATGGAACATTCTAGAGTGTGCTCGTGGGGTCTATGGGGTCTATAGGGGCTGTGGGGTTTATAGGGTTCCATAACGGGGTCTATAGGGTTCTATAATGGGGTTACGGGGTTTATGGGGTCTATAGGGGCTGTGGGGTTTATAGGGTTCCATAACGGGGGGTTATGGGGTTTATGGGGTCTATAGGGGCTGTGGAGTCCATAGGGTTCCATAACGGGGCTATGGGGTCTATAGGGTTCCATAAGGAGGGCTGTGGGGTCTATAGGGGTTATGGGGTCTATAGGGTCTATGGGGTTCCATAACGGGGTCCATAGGGTTCCATAACAGGCCCATGGGCTCTACAGGGTTCCACAATGGGGTTATGCGGTCTATGGGGTCTATAGGGTTCCATAACGGGGTTATGGGGTCTATGGGGTCTATAAGGTGGCTATGGGGTTATGGGGCCTATAGGGTCCCATAAAAGGGTTATGGGGTCTATGGGATCTGTGGGTTCTATAAAGTGGCTATGGGGTTAGGGGGTCTATAGGGTCAATGGGGTCTATAGGGTTCCATAACGGGGTTATGGGGTCTATGGGGTTCCATAACAGGGTTATGGGGTCTATGGGTTCTGTAATGTGGCTATGGGGTTATGGGGTCTATAGGGTTCCATAACGGGGTTACGGGGTCTATGGGTTCTACAATGTGGCTATGGGGTTATGGGGTCTATAGGGCTCTATAAAGTGGCTATGGGGTTAGGGGTCTATAGGGTCAATGGGGTCTATAGGGTTCCATAACGGGGTTACGGGGTCTATGGGTTCTACAATGTGGCTATGGGGTTATGGGGTCTATAGGGTTCCATAACGGGGTTATGGGGTCTGTGGGGCTCCATAACGGGGTCTATGGGGTTCCATAACGGGGTTATGGGGTCTATGGGTTCTGTAATGTGGCTATGGGGTTATGGGGTCTATAGGGTCAATGGGGTCTATAGGGTTCCATAACGGGGTTATGGGGCCGGCTCAGGGCCCATCCCGCCGCCCCCGGTACCGACCCCAGGCCCACCCTCGCACCCCACCTCTCCCCGTGCCCTCTCCCCGTGCCCGCTCACCCTGCACGGCGCGGCTCAGCAGCAGCTCCATGTTGCCCCGGGGCAGGTGTTTCCCGTCCCGCAGCAGCCGGTACACCCGGTGCCGCCGCGGGTGCAGCCGGGGCGCCGCCCCCACCCGGCCCAGCGGCACCGGCCACACGCGCTCCACCACCCGGGCCATGGCTCAGGCTCAGGGCCCGTTGCCCCGCCACTCCCGGTGTCCCGGCCCTCACCGGGCCATGGCTCAGGCTCAGGGCCCGGCTCAGCGCCCGTCCCGCCGCCCCCGGGGCCAACATGGCGGCCCCGCTCCCTCACGGCGCCGAGCACCCCGCGCTATCCGCACTGCGCCTGCGCAGAGCCCGGCGCTGCTGCCCTAGCGCGCCTGCGCGGGACGCCCGCACCGGAGCGCAAGGACCCCACCGGGGGCTGCCCGCGGCGCGCCTGCGCCCGGTTCTCGCCGGGAGCCGCCGCGGCGGGGACGGAGCGCTGAGAAACCTTCAACTTTATTAACCCAGAACCACAATTAGTGCAACGGAACAGCAAAACAAGGCGAGGGAACCGGGAACTCCCGGTAACGGAAGGGGCATCGCCGGCCCTCGGCCCCGGCGTGTCGTATACCGACAAGAGGCACAAGCGGAGATCCCCGCGATTTGTCGGTCCGGCCTCCCGGAGGGCTCCGGATTGCACTCGGTGGTGGCACCGGGAGCCGCTCCGGTCACCGGGATGGGGTCACCGGGAGCGGGCGACTCAAGGGTGGCACCGGGAGCGGCTCCCGGTGGCACCGGGCACGGGGGTCCCGACACCATTCCCGGGGCAGGGACACACCGGGAAGTGTCACCGGCACGGTGTCACCGGGACGGGCCGGGCTCACCGGGCAGGCTGAGGCAGGACGGGGTCCCGGGGCTGTCACCGGGCTCCGGCGGGCTCGGGATGGAGGCGCAGCCGAGATTGTCCTGCCCGGGAAGAGCGGGATGAGCCCTTCCGGGAGGGGACACCGGGAGGGGACAAGGGGACACCGGGAGCAGCTCACCGGGGGCTCCTCCGGGGGCCCGGGCACGGCGTAGCCCAAACGCACCAGCTCCGCTCCAACGTCCAGGCTCTGCGGGGACACCGGAGTGGGACAGGGAATGGGGACAGGGGACACCGGAGTGGGACAGGGACAGGGGACACCGGAGTGGGGACAGGGAATGGGGACAGGGGACACTGGAGTGGGGACAGGGACAGGGGACAGGGGACACCGGAGTGGGGACAGGGACAGGGGACACCGGAGTGGGGACAGGGACAAGGGACACGGGAGTGGGGACAGGGAATGGCGGGAATTGCGGTGAGGGGACAGCTGGGGACACAGCTGGCTGTGGCACAGGGAGCACCAGGAACAGGGACACGCGTAGCCCAAACGCACCAGCTCCGCTCCAACGTCCAGGCTCCAGGGGACACCGGAGTGGGGACAGGGAATGGGGACAGGGGACACTGGAGTGGGGACAGGGACAGGGGACAGGGGACACCGGAGTGGGACAGGGAATGGCGGGAATTGCGGTGAGGGGACAGCTGGGGACACAGCTGGCTGTGGCACAGGGAGCACCAGGAACAGGGACACTTGGGGACAGCTGTGGGGACACTTGGGGACAGTTCTGGGGATGCTGGGGACACATGTGTCTGTGTCACTGGGAACACCAGGAATGGGGATACCTGGGGACAGCTGTGGGGACACTTGGGACAGTTCTGGTGACCCTGGGGACACGTTAGGACAGTTCTGGTGACCCTAGGGACAGTTGTGGTGACCCTGGGGACACTTGGGGACAGTTCTGGTGGCCCTGGGGACAGCTGTGGTGACCCTGGGGACACTTGGGGACAGCTGTGATGACCCTGGGGACAGCTGTGGTGGCCCTGGGGACAGCCGTGGTGACCCTGGTGGCCCTGGGGACAGTTCTGGTGACCCTGGGGACAGCTGTGGTGCCCCTGGGGACACTTGGGGACAGCTGTGATGACCCTGGGGACAGCTGTGGTGCCCCTGGGGACACTTGGGGACAGCTGTGATGACCCTGGGGACAGCTGTGGTGGCCCTGGGGACACCTGGGGATAGTTGTGGTGATTGGGGACAGCTCTGGTGACCCTGGGGACACTTGGGGACAGCTCTGGTGGCCCTGGCAGCCCTGGGGACAGTTCTGGTGACCCTGGGGACAGTTGTGATCACCCTGGGGACAGCTGTGGTGACCCTGGGGACAGCTGTGGTGACCCGAGGGACAGCTGGTGGCCCTGGGGACACTTGGGGACAGCTGTGGTGACCCTGGTGGCCCTGGGGACAGCTGTGGTAACCCTGGTGGCCCTGGGGACAGCCGTGGTGGCCCTGGGGACAGCTCTGGTGACCCTGGTGGCCCTGGCGGCCGCCGGCGCACCTGGCCGTGCCGCTGTGCGAAGAGGCGCAGGCGGGGCCGCGGGCAGGTCCTGGCAGGGCCGTAGCTGCAGATCCGCGCCACCAACGGGCACCACCGAGCGCAGCCCGTGAGCCGCTCGAACTCCTGCACGGCCGCCTCGGGCCACGTGCCACCTGTGGGGACACGGGGACAGTGACACAGGGACAGGGACACAGGGACAGGGACACAGGGACAGGGACAGCACAGCGCTCGAACTCCTGCACGGCCGCCTCGGGCCAGGTGCCACCTGTGGGGACATGGGGACATGACACAGGGACAGGGACAGCACAGCGCTCGAACTCCTGCACGGCCGCCTCGGGCCACGTGCCACCTGCGGGGACACGGGGACAGGGACACAGGGACAGGGACACAGGGACAGGGACACAGGGACAGGGACACAGGGACAGGGACACAGGGACAGGGACACAGGGACAGGGACACAGGGACAGGGACACAGGGACAGGGACACAGGGACAGGGACACAGGGACAGGGACACAGGGACAGGGACACAGGGACAGGGACACAGGGACAGGGACACAGGGACAGGGACACAGGGACAGGGACACAGGGACAGGGACACAGGGACAGGGACACAGGGACAGGGACACAGGGACAGGGACACAGGGACAGGGACACAGGGACAGGGACACAGGGACAGGGACACAGGGACAGGGACACAGGGACAGGGACAGGACAGCCGCTCGAACTCCTGCACGGCTGCCTCGGGCCACGAGCCACCTGCGGGGACACGGGGACATGGGGACAGTGACATGGGGACAGTGACACGGGGACAGGGGAGCTGCTCGAACTCCTGCAGGGCCGTCTCGGGCCACGTGCCACCTGCGGGGACATGGGGACATGGGGACAGTGACACGGGGACAGCACAGCTGCTCGAACTCCTGTAGGGCTGCCTGGGGCCACGAGCCACCTGCGGGGACACACTGGGGACAGGGGTGACACCAGGATACTGGACACACTGGGACTGCAGGACAGTGGTGACACCGAGACAGCGGTTACACACTGGGACACTGGTCACACCAGGACACACCAGGGACAACGGTGACATCAGGACACCAGACACACTAGGACAGCAGTGACATGGGTCATGTGCCACCCCAGGAGGGGACAGGGTCATGTGCCACCCCCAGCAGGTGACAGAGCCATGTCCTACCCCAGCAGTGACAGGGCCGTGTGCCACCCCCAGCAGTCACAGGGCTGTCCCACCCCAGCAGGTGACAGGGCCATGTCCCACCCCAGCAGTGCACACCAGGGACAACGGTGACATCAGGACACCAGACACACTAGGACAGCAGTGACATGGGTCATGTGCCACCCCCAGCAGGTGACAGAGCCATGTCCTACCCCAGCAGTGACAGGGCCGTGTGCCACCCCAGCAGTGACAGAGCTGTCCCTCCCCCAGCAGTGACAGGGCTGTGCCATCCCCCAGCAGTGACAGGGCTGTCCCTCCCCCAGCAGGTGACAGGGCTGTCCCGCCCCAGCAGTGACAGGGCTGGCCCTCCCCCAGCAGGTGACAGGGCTGTCCCGCCCCAGCAGTGACAGGGCTGGCCCTCCCCCAGCAGGTGACAGGGCTGTCCCGCCCCAGCAGTGACAGGGCCGTGTGCCACCCCAGTGGGTGACAGAGCCATGTCCCACCCCAGCAGGTGACAGGGCTGTCCCTCCCCGCTCACCGTTGGGGACAATCCCGGCCAGGCTGCACTCGATGGCCTGGAAGGGCAGGCTCAGGAAGTCGCTCCTGCAAGGACACGGTGAGGGCACTCCCTGGGGACAGCGCCATTATCCCAGGGGACGGGGACATCATCCCGGCAATGTCACCTCCCTGCCACACCTGAGGGCCCGCAGAGCCTCGGGGGGGGCCTGGCCGTTGTCCCCAAAGTCCACGTAGTACAGGTCCAGGTGGCCGTTGTCCAGCGTCCCCAGGACACGCGCCCGGTACCACTCGCCATCGTCCAGGTACGGAGCGGCCACGATGGCCCCGGCATGGACGGACGGGGGTGGCACCTGGGGACACGGGGACGGTCAGGGGACACGGGGGGGACGCGAGGGGACGGTGCAGGGGCAGCAGGGACAGGTGGTAAGGGACGTGGTGGGGACAGTGCTGGGATGGGAGGTTGTCCCCAAAGTCCACGTAGTACAGGTCCAGGTGGCCGTTGTCCAGCGTCCCCAGGACACGCGCCCGGTACCACTCGCCATCGTCCAGGTACGGAGCGGCCACGATGGCCCCGGCATGGACGGACGGGGGTGGCACCTGGGGACACGGGGACGGTCAGGGGACACGGGGGGGGACGCGAGGGGACGGTGCTGGGGCAGCAGGGACAGGTGGTAAGGGACGTGGTGGGGACAGTGCTGGGATGGGAGGGGACATGGGGACAGTCAGGGGGGACATGAGTGGCCCATCTCAGCACACGGCCCTGTCACATGGGACAGTGTTGGGACATGAGGGGACATGGGGACAGTCAGGGGGGACATGAGTGGCCCATCTCAGCACACGGCCCTGTCACATGGGACAGTGTTGGGACATGAGGGGACATGCGGACAGTGCTGGGACAGCAGGGGACGCGGGAGGGACATGAGGGGACGGTGCTGGGGCAGCAGGGACAGGGGGACAGGGGGTAAGGGAGGTGATGGGGACAGTGCTGGGACGGGAGGGGACATGGGAGTGACACGAGGGGACAGTGCTGAGACAGCAGGGATGTGGGGACAGTGCTGGGACAGGAGAGGACATGGGGACAGTGCTGGGACAGGAGGGGGACATGGGAGGGACACGAGGGGACAGTGCTGGGATAGGAGGGGACATGGGGACAGGGGGTAAGGGATATGGTGGGGACAGTGCTGAGACAGCAGGGACATGGGATGGGGGTAAGGGACACGGTGGGGACAGTGCTGGGGCAGCAGGGACAT